TATTTTTTGCATACTTTGATTTTTAAGTACAATAAGGAAATGAAAAATTTGTTTATTTACCTTTTAAGCTTTGAACTAGAAGTATTAGGCTTGATAAATTATAAATCACACATGAGATATGTTAAATAAGATTTAAAAACACATCATTTCAATGTATATTAAGGGTATAGATATATTGATCCCAAATAAATACACGAAAGAAAAAAACAATAAAAAACAAAAAAAACACATAAAAAAAATGTTTTTTTTTACTAAAAAAACACTCTGAAAAAAAAAAACGTTTTTTTTGCATCTCTAGATTTTATTGACCTTTTAGGCAATTAGAAAGATTTTCCACCCTAATACGAGTATTCTAATTGAAATATTTAATTTCATCTTTAAATATGTCAATTTAAAACTAGAAACAAAACAATTACAATTACAGTATAGGGCTATATATAAAAAAATTAAATACAGTGAATGGATATAAAATATTTGAATTGTGCACATGTTTATTTCAAACAGTGTTAGCTTTTCTCATAACTTGAGTCTCATTTCAAGTCATATGAGGTTTGTTTGGTCATCATTCAGTTTATGTTTAGTATTGGTTTATTGGTCTGAATTAAATGGGAACAGTGCAGTCAGTCACTCAGTCACTACTAGTTGGTGTGTATAGAGGGTAGAGTCTGGTAGATTTATAGGACATAAAACTAGTAGATCTATTGATAGTGCTGTGCACTGTGCTAAATAATTGTTTACCCAAAAATCCCTAAGTAGTAAACACCACCTTGGCCATTATTAAAGGCAATAAGTGCCCTCTTTAGCCATCCATTATGATCCACATACTGTTATTGTTAGTAGGCTAATTGCAACATAAAAAATAACACTTCAAAAAGACAAAAAAGCTGAAAAAAAAACAAAAAAATCAAATAAATCAAAAGAATCATGAGAGAATAAAAAAATCATTGATTTTTTATTTTTTCGATTTAAAAAAAAAATAACAAAAATCACCAACCCTGGTTAAAACTAGTCCTATAAGTTGCATTTTCTTTCATTTTAAGCAATCATCTTTAGCAAATACAATAAACCAAGCTAAACACTAATGCTTGAACTAAATAATGACTGCCGTTAGTGAGTAATGAATGGCAATAAAGAGTCTCTCACTCTCTCCACTCTCCTTAGTCCTTACTCAAAGTAAACTAACAGCTCATTAGCTAGTACTAAATATGGCTTATACTATTTACTCTTGACAATCGACATAATGGTTGCAAATTAAATATAAAAAAAACATTTATTGCACCTATTCGTTATGTCAGCTTTCAACATGAGGATAAACTCATCGGCAATCGGAGAAACTTATTGAAGAAGAGGCAATGCACAACAACAATATGACTCTTGACTCAGTTGACTGACTAGACTACTGGTAGCGTACTTGGAAAATTTAGCATTCAAACCTTTAAATTCTGTGAACCTCGTAATTTATACATTATTAGAACTTTAGATGGCTCAAAATATATCACGTAAAGTTTTCACTCAATAATAGTCTTGAAGTGTATGAATAAAACCTAAGGAGTATAAAACTGAAGTGTCCACTGAAGTGGGCGGGAGCTTCATCTGCATTGCAGTTACCACATCCACTTGTTCCGGTTGCGTAATGAGAACTAAGTAAACTAACCAGGCTGAGCCAAAAGCTTTCCCGCCAGCTTCATTGCATACGATTGATACTACATGCAATGCATGTATAACATTTATAACCATTATTAAACCATTCTGTTGAATGTCAGTTACTAAAAATTTACAATATATAAGAATTCAAATATTTCATTTCTTCACAGAATATATTGATATCATATTGTTGGTGTCTCTGTCATGTGTCACCTTCTTTGTTATTGTTTTGGTACAGATGGTATTCCTGAATCCTGACCGTGAGTAGTTGTCATGTCTCAGCTGATTTCATCAGTGATCAGTTTTTTATTTGTTGATGAAATCATACGCAGTTTTTCATGTATTTGTGAGTGAATGTACAAAGTGAAGATGTTATTCTTTGCGATTTTCATCAATAGTGACATAACTACATTATTGTATTAGGCCCTTGAAATAAGTGTAGCATACTAGCATTACACATTAAATTAGCATTAGTGCGTTAACAATGTGTGCATTTGGGGCGGTCCATTCTAGCTTTCTAACGCTGATTGGATTCCAGTGGCTGTGACGTTGCACGCATTCTGATGGTAATTGGATTCTTGTGACTGGCGTTGTACACGTTCTAGCGATGATTGGATTCATGTGACTGTGATGTTGGACGTGTTCAAGCGATGATTGGATTCATGTGACTGTGACGTTAGATGCGTTCAAGTGTTGATTGGATCCTTGTTACTGTGATGATGTTAGCTCTGTTTTTTCCAATGAAACAGCTGTGGCAGCTTGCAGAGACTTGTCAGTGATGATGATGGACTGAAAGTGGAGGTGTTCTGGCCATTCCAGATTTTTAGGTCATGCTTTCCATTTTGCTATGTCCACCAGTTAACATATTACCCCTCTGGAATTCCACACTGATCAAGATATACATGAATAATTAAATGAGCTTAAGCAGCAGTTGAGATTTAACATGCAGTTTATTAAACAAATAAGAATTTGCCTTCAAATGGGGGTACTAAGGGATGGGTGGGATGATTTGGGACAAGCATCCCACATTTTGTAGAAGTGTTGTAGCAGCTAAACTAATCAAAATATTGCAAAACTAAAAGTGGTGGTGTAAAGTTCACTACCATCAAACGGGGTAAAAAGGGACAGGTGGGATAAATCAGGACGTGCATCCCACATTCCGTAGAAATGTTGTAGCAGCTAAACTAATCAAAATATTGCAAAACTAAAAATAGTGGAGTAAACTTCAACATTTTTACTATCTATTATGTATAAAGCTTGTCAAGAAATCAAACATTTACTATCTCTAAAAAATTGCTGAAAAAAAGTGTGAAAAATGCAATTTTGGAAAAGTACCTCTGCTAAGGTCTGGAGCAAAAAAAAATTTTTGCCGTATTAAAAAATTTTACTTACATGAAAGTTGCTCCCAGGTGTTGGCTTGAAAATGTAATTGACGGAATTTGCCTATCTCATTCCAAAAAAAATGGCAGCCAATTCCGCATGACGGGGTAAAAAGGGACACCCTTAAAAAAGCATTTACAGTAGAACCTCAGCAAAGGCTCCAGTAATAAAAAAAAATTGATTAACAACAAAGAATTTTGATGACATATACCTTGCTCAGCAAAAAAAATGCACTTATCAAAAAATTAGTGCATCATCGGTCATCACAAAATTGTACATAGAATGCTATATATAGAATTGTGCACCGGGCATCATAGAATGAAAAGTAATTGACCTAAACTATTATTTATTTCTCCAAAACATATGATGTTGTCACTAAAACATTTTCTGTTTCAGGTATGTTTTTCACAATCTTTTTTGTTATAGTGAAATCACTTGACTTGATTAAAATTGTGCGAAATTACAAACCATCCTGTAAGCTTACAGATACGGAAGAAATGCTACATGGCTGCTGATATGAAGCTTGCATTGGACAAGGTTGTTGTAAATGCTCAATGGCATGTTCATAGATACGGTAATATCGCATCAATAATATGGTAATTAATGTATATGGTAATATCATATCAATAAAGGAAAAACAAGTAAAAATCACAGAAAATGTCATTTATTCTACCTCTACATCATCTACAATGAAAGAGGAGGACTTCAGATTACTGTTAGTAATGGATGAGTACACTCTGCATGCTTCAAATGTTTTAAAATGAAGTTTTATTCCAAGTGTCCCGAGTAGCCCAGTTCGATGGGGCTTCTCGGGACACTTTTTTTTTGCTTCTGGCACCTTACGAATAGCATATGACATTTTTTTGGAGTAGCCATGTGATAGCCCTTGCAAAGAGCTTTAAAATGAGCCTAAACTTGTGTATGAAATGTTTCATGGTAAGAAGTTATGAATGAAAAACGTTTGAAATCGTCCTGAGTAGCCCCGGTTGACGGTAGTGTGAGTACAAGGTAATGGCTGATAGGAGATGTGCAATTTCAAGTAACACTGACACATGAAATAATGGTCTGCAATAAGAGCAAAGAGAATGAGATGGAATGCACTAATAAACACAAATATAGGTAATGTTCACTATGAATGTCAAGATTCAAAATAACTTCATATTAACTCAGAACTGGGGGAGTGTTACTTCTCCAAGTGGGATAAGGTAACCACCACTCTCTAGCAGTATAAGAGTGACAACTTATAACAATGATGACCCACATTAGGTCAAAAGTGCATCAATATTTGGATCATGTCTCCCTTATTCCTCTAAATGCAATATTTGTTCATTTATTAAACACATAAGATGACACTGCTGCTTGAGTAACGTTAGATAGCTGACATAAACAAAAGTAGCATGGTCCTTTACAGAGCCAATGGTTCCAAATGAAAACATATAGAGCTTTTCTCTATGTACTAATACAATCAAAAATGAACTGCCACTTCTTCATTACTCACCTACCGCTTCATCAAACTACCTATCTTCATTTTTGCTTCAAACACATGTTCAAAAAGCTTCTTCTATAACCTGAAACATGTTTTCTGATTCTTAGTTTGCATCCTCCTATGATTTTTTATGTGGTAGCAGTCTGCAATCACAATCACTCTATTCATTTTTCTATTTTATTGTTAAACCTTGCTATTAAGGAGCATCTTGATACATTAGAGATCAAGTGTAAACTTTCCCAGCATTTTTTGCTTTGGTTACCACATTCTGGTTGTGAGTCTTAGTAATGTTGTTACCAGTGCAACTTTGATATTTTTCTTTCCAATACTAGAATTTCATTGGTGTTCAGCTTATGCACTCAAAAAAATATTCATTGGTCAAAATAACTTATTGTATTTTTTTGCTTCTTGTGAAAGTTCAAACTATATCATATAAGAAATTTATAGAATTTTATTTATGATTTTTGTTAATAGCTTCATTCTATTACAGATCTGGGGAAGTTCTGGCAGATTACAGATGTACACTGGGACTTGAACTATGCACTGGATGGTGACCCACTCAAAATGTGCCATCGTCATTCAATATCCAGCCCTCCCAGCAGCTCAGCTACTGTTGAAAAGCTCCAAAGTAAGATATATATGAGTAAAATTCCCTAAATAAATAAATTATTGGTGGCATTTGCCTTGTAGGTACATTTGTAATATTTACACTTAATTTTTTATCAAGACTTTTTCAAAATGTATGGTATGCTTAAACTTGTACATTAAAGAGAACTCTCAGCCAATGCAAATGTATGAATCATTAATTTAAATTTTCTAATCTCAGCATCAAAATCCCATAGTACTGTAATTTGTTTTAATTTATTCTGAACATTTTGCTGTGAACCATCAGCCCAGAAAGCTGTGATCTTATATTATTCATATAAAATATACTAAACACTTGCAATTGCAGCAAATGGAAGGTATGGCAATTATCTCTGTGATGCACCATGGATGCTGGTCAATGCAGGGCTTGATGCAATGATGAACATCGATGCCCATCCTGATTTCATCTTGTGGACTGGGTGAGTGTAGTCTCCTTTCCAATGGATGATATACATAATCTCCATTTTCTCAAAGAGTATTTAATGTGCCTCTGTAAAATATTTTTTGTGCAAACAAGCTCAGTTCATACAAATGCATTTGTGGTAAGGAAATTAAATACCTACTCATAGTTTTTTATACACTGCAGATTTTGTTCATTCTACATTGTTGAAACTTAATTTTTAGGTAGATTTTTTATACATGATAGGAATTTCTTGAATTCATAGGAACAGGGTGCGTTCTGGTCATGGAAAACCTGGAAAGTTATTGAATTTGATTTTTCATTTTCCAAGCCTGGAAAGTCATGGGAGATCATTTCATGTTATGGAAAGTCATGGAATTTGCAAGTAAATGAAGAAAAAAGGAAGTGTTTTTCTGTGCTGCGTATGTTAACCCAATAATGCAGAGCAGTTCCATTTGGAACCGGCGGAGAGAAATGGGTTCATAATAAAATTGTAAGATCAATTAAATATGCAAGTGGATGCGTAGGCTTGATAAACATCTATTACATATTCTGGCAAAGTTTGGTACTGCTGTGCCAACTACTCTTTTTTCAGTTAACATTCAAAGATTACTAGAACCAAGTAATGGAAAAGTCATGGATTTTTTTAAACACTGGTACGCACCCTGTAGGAAGTGATACTTGTGATTATGAAACTCTGGGACACTGTTGGAAGATAAAATTTTGTTGGGTGCATGTCTATGACATTCAGGTCTTGCACATTGCCTAATGCTTCATTATTTACGCATCATTTGTAGATGAGTCACTAATATTGTTCAACCTGATATAGCACAATACCTCGGGCTAAAAAATTATTGCTTTCACTGTATATAAAGCCCTGTACATATTAGTACTATAATTTCAGGGTGCGTACCGGTCGTGGAAAACCTGGTAAGTCATTGAATTTGATTTTTCATTTTCCAGGCCTGGAAAGTCATTGGATTTCATTTCAGGTCATGGAAAGTCATGGAACAAAAGGCATTTTGATTTGCCTCAATAAGGTTGGTGTTGTTTACATGCCCAGGACCGCGATAAAAAAACAGCTTGCAGACAAGAAGGCAAGTGCACTGCAAGTTCTCACTTTCAAGACACGAGCGCGGGACTTCATGCAGGCTGTAGTCCAAAGTTACTGGACAAGATCCCTATCAGATATGGCAGGCAGGAACCTGAGATGGCTGGTGCCAAAAATCTTCATCAAGAAGCACTGTAAGGAAGCCGACAAGACACAGTTGAAGAACTGTCTCACTTTGCTTGTTGATGCCAAGAGATTCCCTAACACAGATGTGGATGGTGTTGTACGATGAGATGTGCAACTTTAGAGATGAATCACAACATTGCAGTAAACTGAACGCACAGTTTCAAGCATTTTCAACTTTTGATCGGCTTGACACTTTTTGGCATGCCATTCTGTCCAAGAGCACCTATACAAGAAGCTCTGGAATGTAGTGCAGATGCTCATGATCCTGTCTCATGGCCAAGCCACGATTGAAAGAGGGTTTTCGTTCAACAAGGAAATCATGACATACAACATGAAAGAGCGAACGGTGGTTTCCCTGCGTCTTGTGGTTGATCATGTTGCACCAGTTGGTGGCCTGGACAAGATGACCATCACCATAGATGCTGCTTGCAGCTGGCAGTGCCAAAACAGCCTACAATACTTATTTGGCAGAAGAGAAAGAGCAGAATGCGAAGGCCCAGAAGAGGAAGGCTTTGTTGGGTGATCTAGATGAACTGAAGAAGAAGAATAAAAGGTGTACGGAGGAGGACATCAAGGCGCTTGAGCAAGCAGCAGATGAATATGCAAAAGCAATGGAGAGAATGAGGGATTTGAAAATTATCGCAAAGTTCAACGCCATGAGGCGATCTTTGAAAACAAAGCTAGACGCTTTTGAACTGATCATTAAAGAAAAAGTTGATTAAATAGCTGCCAGTTGAATGTTAGGGTAATGGTGTTGAAGAGTGTTCTGAACTGTATTGACATTATCATATACAAACTTGTGTGCAATACTCAATATTTGTTGTGATTCCACACTATTGAATTTATAATAATAGCAGTGTGGGCTTGATTTTCTGATGTTACATATTTGTTCCTCTGTCTGCCTGCTCTATGCATTTACACGTTTTCTATTTATCAACTGTAGGAGATGATAGAATATGCACGGTTAGTTTTTCAGTCATGCTAAACTTGTCGTATACGAGTCTTGGAAAATTATATTGATGGTCATGGAGAGTCATGGAAAAGTCATGGAATTTTTTTTATAAATACCAGTACGCACCCTGTAACTTGCATACTTGGTCAGGTCCTCATATGGGATCTTTTCTTTCATCACTAATTGCGTGAACCCTCACAGCTTGTTCTTGAATATATGCTTTTTCTTAATCTTAATTTCTAAAAATAGTCAACTGGTAAAGATAAGAACCAAGAATACAGTCCGTTGTTTCCTTGTAGGGACATTGGTCCTCATGTGTCGGACCCCAAGCCCTCCTTAGACGTCATCTTCCAGACGATGAGCAACGTCTCCGCCGAGTTACTGAGACGCTTTCCTCCCCCAGTGGCAGTGCTGCCTGTGCTTGGCAACCACGACTCGTTTCCTCAGGTATCCCTCGCTGATATTTCAAGAAATATCCCTGGGTTTTATGACGTTTTACCACGGGTATCTCCAATTATAACTGAGGAATATCTGAAAGTTCTTATCACTCTTTACCTCGGGTTCGCCTCCCCATAATTTTCAGAAATATACCAGTGTTTTATCGCTCTATTCTTCATGTTTCCTTCCCAATAATTACCGAAGTATACTATGGTTTTATCACTCTATCCTTCAAGTACCGTTCCCCATAATTTTCAGAAATATGCCGAGACTTGAATATTCATAACATCGGTTACCTCTTGTTGTAATTATTGGAAATGTCCCAATAATTACAACAAGTATGACCACAATACTTTCCAGGTCATAATCTCAAGCACCCCTCGCCATAATAATAAGTAATATCCTTGCACTTTGACTCATTACCTCCTGTACTGCCCGCCGTAATTAGAGGAAAAAATAAACAGGGATTTAATCACTCATTACTTCTGGTATCTTTAATCCTAATCTTTGGAAACGGCCTATGATGAACAGATATTTATGAACTATATGGTCTTGAAGTGGATCAGATTATAGTTCATCACAGTTCTTGAAAAGCGTTGATTTATTTAGTTTAATTGAATTTCAGGACGACTATCCAAACTGTCCATCGTCATTTTTTGAACGTTATTTGGAGAAGGGAGGCTGGAGCTCTTTCCTAACCTCCGAGCAACAGGAGTCCTTCAGGAGAGGAGGCTACTATTCCTACAAGGCCCCTGCCAATGTCAAGGTAGCACGGCACTAAATTCAATTAATTTCATATTACCGTACTCATGTAAATTTACAATTACTTTTGTAAATTGTGGTTAAAATCTCGTCAGGCCCGTTTCGTTCGCATCAGTTCAATTATTTAGGAAGAAACAATTAAGTATTAACAAATATTGGTTTATGTTAAAGCCGATTAATTACATTACAGGTGCTCGTGCTTAACACCAACATGTACTACTTTGGAAACGAATTGGGCACCACAGATCCTGATCCCTGCCGCCAGTTCACGTGGCTCTCCAATGAACTGGACACTGCAAAGCTTCACAATTACAAAGTTAGTATTGTACTGTTCAAATAGTATTTTTTGCCTTCTTCACATTGTTGAGAAATTACGCAGTTTTTAAGGGCTTACTATGGTATGGGTATGGTATGGTAGTTAAATTTGCTGTGACGTATGAAATTTGTTGCATTTTATAACATAGCTCCAGGAATTTAAAAGCAAAGAAAATGGCCAAAAAGTTCACCATTTCTTATAAGAGAAAACGTTTCGGAGTCCAGCTCCATCGTCAGTTCAAAACCTAGAACAAAGGTACAAACAATTAGTAACCTAAAATTCACATTCTAACAATTCACCTAGACTCGAGGACATTTGAACCAAAATCGAAAATAAAACAATCATAAATGAGATAACACTTGCAGATGGTAATTTTAATACGTATAACATAGCTCGAACTATCTGAAGAAGTCATTTAAATGCTATAATTTTGAAGCCTAAGTGATGGTAAGTAACGTTCACTAACGCTAGTTATTGAAAAGAGCATCTGTTGTTACATGAGCTCGAATGTTTCATGCTACCAGAGAGCAAAATGTAAGTCACTTCTGTAAAGTACAACTTTGTTAATAGTTGCTTAAAAACAGGTGATGCTGGTCGGCCACGCACCACCTGGATTCTTCGAACGGTTTCCAATAATTCCATCCTTCAACGTCACTTACAACGAACACTTTATTGACATCGTTGAACAGAGCGGAGCTTTGATCCACTCACAAGTATATGGACACCTGCACACCGACACCTTCAGGATCTACGGCTCTATTGGTATTGCTCGCTTGCTTCCTACAGAATTAATTGTTATGTTCCATTAATACCTGAGCCTTGATTTATCATTAGTAGCTTGCGAGAACCTTGACAGTTGAGAATTTGATGTTGCTCCTTCTTCTTACCCTTGCTGTTATTTTCTTCTACTTGAATTTAAAAGCTATCAAGTTGATTGGTATGAAAGTTTTTCGAAGGGTTCATAAAGTAGCATTAACTAACTCCATTGTGCGAGACTCGGTTATCAGTATATTATTAATTAATGTATTTTCTGCCAAAATATACAAATAATTCATAAACTCACAGAGAGTGGGACGAGCAGCGCGGCGTTCATGGCTCCATCTTTGACTCCATGGCAAGCAAACCAGACGTTCGGTGGCACTGCTGTTAATCCTTCTCTTCGTCTATACTCATACGACTCTGTCTCTATTATGGATTACAAGCAATATCTCTTGAACCTCACGCGTGCTAACCAAAGACCTACCAACCCAAGCTTACTTGTGTCAAAGCTTCTGGAAGAAGAAATACCTCGTGATACGACGCAAATTAGCGTCGAGAAAATTAACACTGAATCGTTTATTGCTAGCGGTGATCAGAGTTCAGGTTCTTGGAAATCCGAGTTGCGAAGTGTACATCAAAATGTAGACGTTATGACTGAAGCAAATATGATACAGAACTTCCCTGACGATGATCTTCATTTCACTACAGAACATTGGTTAGGAAGTAGAGATCTGAAGGGAGTCGACGAACATCTCGAAGACCCTAAACATTCTGCGAGACCCTTTGGGACACCAGAACCTACTTATGCTCCTTACACGGATGCTGATTTGCCAGATTTGAATTGGGAGTTGTATTACGAAGGGAGGAAAGCATATTCACTTGACCGTCTTGATGGTGTAGGCATGAGCAAGCTTTATGAATCGCTCGAAAGCAACGAAGACATTTTTGACAGGTATTACAAACGCAATTCCGCTGGTTTTAGTTACAATAAAGGCCTTTGCAGAGGCCACTGCCGAAAGCAGCAGCTTTGTGCTATCGCTAATTCTCGAGTAAGAGATCTTTTCTCCTGCATGGCTTTCAACAAGACGTACATTGATTCAGTCCTGAAAAGGACTTTTGATCGGATTTCAGTATCTACATTTGATGGTTACTTCGTTGATACGCCAACTGCTGACACCACGGAGCACTTTGAGCCTACCACGCCAGTTGAATATCCTATTCAGGACACTCCTTTGGATGTCTGCTCTTCAAAAAACTCCTTGTCCAACCATTGCATAAGTTGGTTCTCACCTACTGTCATCATTGGTATTGCTTTGTTTTGGGTCATTTTGATTTCATTTCTCGCCCTGATCTGGAGGAAGAATCGCTGCACGGCTCGCACTGGTTCGTCATTGCTCAACAGTTCTACCCACGGTTACAAACCTCTGTCTTCTGACGAACATTAGGAGCCAGGCTGTAGTATGAAACGCATGAAAATGCCATCAAACAGCTAACTATTAAAGACACGTAAAGTTATTGACCTCCAAAAAGCCAGTCACTAAATGCATTATGCCTAAAACTGTAAGTATGTTATCTAAGGCGGGAAAATAGGTAGGGCTTAGTCGTAGCAATGAAATGTGTGAATGTAAAAGGTGATTTCACGTGTGTAATGGGTGATCAAATTTAAGATGTTTTTGCAAAGGTTCTGTTAGCCCAGATTCGCACAGTGGTTCTACTCCTGTAAGTTAGAGACGCACAAATTTGTTCTAGCGCTCATGGATCGAAATGTTAAAGGAACATACGAATTGTATTCCGAAATTGAGGGCGTTGCGGCTTGATTCTATTAGTTATCGGACCAAGTCATAGTTATTGGATAAAATGTCTGTAGAATAATTTTGGTGGAATATTAATGGGAAGTTGATGAGCCGAGAACTTTTATGTGATAAATCTAAGCTCACTTTCGTTAATTTTATCAGTATCGATTTTACATAGATGGTAACATGTGCATAGTCGTTTACATTATTATATCGAGAACTAAATGATTTTAGCTTTTAATTTAGTGAAAGAATGGCGAACTTCATTGGCGCTACATTAATCGGGAAATAGACTAGAGTAAGCTACCATTGAGTTCACAATAGTAGAGTTTACAATTTTTTATGGAAATTCTGGAATTTTTTACCAGCGGGTGAAATGGAGATTTAGACACAGGAAATTATGAGCAAAATAGCCAGATAGACGGGTCAGGTAACAATAGAAACCTGTCGAATTACAATTTTGTTGAGACACCACTTTCGTTTATCTGGCTATTTATGTTTTAATCTTGAGTAATTTTTGTTTTTTCTCTTGAGATTACTCTTTGAAGTTTAAATTATAATCAAGAAGGATAGTATTTTTCTTGAATGGTTTTCTGGAAGTTTTGAAATGATGGTCTATGGAACGTTTCCAATGAAATTAGGGCGAATTTTCTGGTCCTTGTTTTTCGCTCTAAAATTTTTGATCAATTTGCGATTTGAGGTAACTAATAATATAAATAAGTAGAAAATACATTTCTGCTCGAACTTGCCCGAAGATGCAATTTTTATTTACACTCAAACCTACCAGTGTAAAATGTTACTAAGGACGTCAATTGACCCAATATTTAATTATGAAATCCTGAGGTGATGTGATGTAAATATCCTAAAAAATACTCCTGTAGTGCCTTTTCATATCTTTCTATTTACGCTTATTTTCTTCGGCGCTCTGGACATTTACCACTGAAATTTTCTTCTATACAATTCAACCTGTGATTGTGATATTAGGTGATACCGTTCCTAAGTTCGTTCCTTTCATGAATGTCTGTCGATATTATCGTGTTTGATGATTTATCAAGTTATTTTAAATGGCTAACTTCGTCCGTAGGATAATTATCGTGGTTTATGATTCGCGTCTTTCATTACTGTTGTGATGTTCTTTTCAGTGATAATTTCATTTTGAAACGCAAATTATAGTCATATTTATTGCTTATTGACCAAAGGCTATATAGTCTTTGTTTTATAGTAGTGTATTTGCACGTTTTAGCGTGAAAATTAGGTCTCCATCGACCAGCTGTAGCTAATATTTTTTGTTGCTAAGAAACGATTTTTTTTAGAAGCTTGAAATTTCAGATTTTTCCTCACTTTTACACGATGCCCTAGGCTAATTGGTTTTTCTTTCAAAGCTTATTCTTAATGTGAAATAAAGATGAAGGATAATTTTTAGTTGTTATATTTGTTACGCAAGAGGAATCGTTAGGTCACTCAAGTGTTGTTAATGTTTACAATAAATTTAGCCGCTTGAATTTAATGACACGAGTGGATATAACATACAATAAATTGTATTATCAAATTAGTTAAACTTGAGAAATATATACGTTGTATCGATTAGCAGTGTTCTTAGTCATTTTCTGTAAAGATTAATGCACAAAATAAAACCAATTGAAACTTCACCGAGCTCTACATCTTCACTGCTAGGCGGAAGCATAACTTTAACTCCAGTTCATTAAAAATTTTATCTTAAGAGTATTTCTCGAAAATATCATTTTTGCAATGACCTGCCGGTGTCCCACTGTTACGTCCACTCGTCCTAGTATGTAAAAACAATAACGCAATACGAGCCTTAGTTAAAACTCACCTCTATATCGCTGCTTGCCGGTCTGTGGTCCTTACGAGCATCCTTCGTCACTTTCCCAGGTACATAAATTAAATTCCTATCCCTACAGAGGTCTTTTTCGGTATACGTTCTCGTATGAGGGAGTCATGTTTGCAGTCTTTCTTAACATCATAATGTTCTATGTTGGTGACACTAATAGTAATCTAAATTATTTCATGTACATTATTGTAGCTGAATCCGATTGTACCTGATGCATGACGTTCCGGGTCTGCTATAATCTTCTATTGCTAGAAATGAACTGTAAATCATGACACATAAGACCACGCAGTAACGTCCAATCTACATGCCGACAAGTCTGCCCATCACTCAAATTGCATGTGATAGTTCTAAAAATACTGAAGAATTAAGTAATAGTGTTGAATTTAACAACCAACGTAACATTGTTCGGATACACTGTGCTGAATAAATTCAATACAAAATAATCATCTCTAGAATACTTATTCGCTGCTTTGAATGAATCGATATCTCGATGCATTTTATTCATTTCAAGAGTATATTAACAATAATGAACAAAGTAACGCTCGGGGTATATATAATTTCTAACATTATTCAAGTAAAAATCCGCTTATTCCAGACCTTAACCAATTTAGCACCTTATTATGAACATCTCAAAAATGGATCATTAACATATCAAAGGGAACAATGGAACTAAGCATCAAAGTATTCCTTTATTTGACCCTATATTTTGTACAATAAATATACAAATGGTAAAACGTGAAATTATCAAGCAAATTTAGTCGTACATTACAAGCATCAGAGCCTGATAAATACAGTAGTAGGGATGTGAGAATAATCGGCGCATGGCCAAATAAATTAATCGAATGAAGCCTCAAGAGTTACCTGAATCCCCTTAATATGAACGAAGAAATTTTTTTTTTTTAACAGTTTTTAACATAGTCAAAAGTGTTGTGATCGACAAGTTTAATTGATAAATTAACTAATAATTTTACTATCATCGCATTTCGAATTAAGCTGGAACAGCTTCTTGATGCTCTAGTTTCGCGGACTGTAGCACTGAGTGCAAGTCCTTGACGCACTGCCGTTTTGCCACACATTATCCTACAAAAAACCCTAATCTCCAGCAAGTGGAGGATAGGGTCTCGTCCTGCCTGTGGGCTCACACTTGTAAAAAAAAATCCGAATTTCGAACGTGTCAAAAATGGATAGGAAATTGTAGAATAAAACGGCACTCGCACAAAAAGATCGGTGCAACGAGACGTGGTGCCAGAAAGTAAGAAGAGGGGGCGAATGCCCCCCGCCAGCACAGTGCTACGTAGAAAGCGAAATCCGATATTCTTTTACGCCTAGCTTAGAGTCAAATAATGTTCAGAAGCATGAGATGCTACATTACAAGTAAAACGAATATATAACATAGTACAACATACAATTATATCCATTACATATGCTAGTAACATGCATTAAAGTTACTCATGGACGAAAGTGATAACTAAGTAATTGCGGAGATACTGTTACGTAAATATTTCAAGTGTGAACTTGCCTGTGTTATTGCAAAGCCGATAAGATAAAATGCAAAGAGTTTTTTATACTAAATTTTTAAACTAGATCGACGCACTATTGAAAGTTATAAGGTGGCACAGAGGACCAAATGAACAACATAAATAGATTACATATGCTTCATATAATATGACGTTACCCGAACCTTATACAACCCTGCGTTTTTTAAGTTCATTTAGAAACTTGGAGATTACATAAAATTCACCTGAACATTGAACGCAGTCCAAATAACTACCAATACTTTGAAAGGCATCAAATGCATTAAAAATTTGAAGATAATCTCAATCACATGGTTTTAGAAGAATTAAATAAATGCACGCTAATAATATTGACGGCAGTGAAGCGCTTATGCACTTGTTACTATTTGTAATTGAATTATAATTATAAAGCTATAATTACATTACCTACTCACTGGAACAGTAACCCGTTTCTTAGTAGTTTCTTAGAACGACAAATTTTCATTAGAAAAAATATATACTTCAAAGATATTCCGTTCCATGAATTAATTTTAAATGTTTGATTAAAAAAAGTCAGATGGGTTCAACTCGTACGCAGAATACATCATATTATAGGACTATCCACAGTCTCTGTCATTTCTATGTTTCGGCAAACGCTAGAACTAAATCGATTGTTAGACACATGAAAATATTCTTCGTTGGGAACATTCCATTTCGCACGCGAAGTTTTCTGACGCACCGAATCCCAAAACCTTGGTTTTATAATTCCATCAATGACGTAAATGCTATCTACGGTAGATGCGACAAAAGAAAGTAAATGAACATTTAATTGTTGTGGTGAATGTATTAGGAGGTTTCTGCTTGTAGTTGTTATATAAAGAGATCAGACTTTGAGTTTACTTACCAAAAACAAGAGTTTGACGTGAATGTTGATACGGATATAAATGTAATTGACGTGAATATAATTACGCCAAACAGAAATTATTCACTTATGCTAAGCAAACATGATGACAACTGCTTAAGTTTCTCGTGTTTCACTCGACAAAGATATTATACTTTTCAAGTAGGAATATTAAAGTAAATCAAATATATATATGAACGCCTTATTATTCTTATTATCATACCCATTAAATTTATTAGCAAGTCAATAAAAAACTATTTTGACGCCAATGCATGAATCAAAAAGGTAATTAATTAATTTAGCCACAAATACAAAAATAATTTGTTTGAAATTCTGAATTTATCCATCATCTATCCACAAATTTTGTTGAACTTGTTACAAACGGGACCTTGTTCCCAATACCAGCTAATGTCCAAGAATTATTTCAATAGTTGTAACTAGTAGTCTCAAATTCCAGCTAGTCAATATCAAACAAAAAAATACCCTCATATTACTTCTACGTAAGAACTAGTGTACAAAATGTAACAAAATACTTTGCATATGATTGCATTACCATACAAGGCTTTTCAAATTGAATAATTGATTGTGGAGAGCAAGAAGTACGATTATTGAACACCTGCAGTGCTTTAAATAACCATGCACGACAATGAGCTGACACCAGTAACATTCATAATAAGGCAATTATCGTACATTAAATATTGGAAAGATTTTCGAACTTGGTCACGATTTCCCCATACGCCCATCAATGATGGCAGAGAAAAATGATTTCCACGTAAGCGAACAGAATCATCTTTCCAACTTCCATCAGCACGTTGCCTCCACCACTTGACACCATAGAATATCTTACTTGAGAAAATTCGCTAAGAAAGAGCACTACGAATAGAGAAGCACGCGTACGAAGGTAGACGCGCTGCCTTCATTAGAAGAGGATTCGTGTTTATTTAAAGATATCATGGACTCCGAAATAAAAAAATTATGTACAATTACACAATTACAATCTCTGTCAAAATTAAATATTTCTTAATTTATGTCAATTCAACTAGTTATGAATTAAAAAGTATCAGATAAAATTGCTTAACTATAAAAAAATTACATTTCCACTGCGAATGCTAAATAATGAAAAAACTGAGTTATAAAAGAAACAAAGATCCCTCAATAAATCCTTTGAAAAAAAAATTCAATTAGGAACCAGAACCGGAAGGAGCATAGTAATTAGGCGTAAATACCGTAATTATCAATACATAGATAAAATACTACGCGACCACTAAATATTCGAAAAAAGGACACGGGAGTAAATGCATGATTATAGATGATCCTCTAGGTTAAGGCAGCCTTGTCGGCAGCGTAGGCAACATCGGACAATCCTTACCATATTTTAAGCAATATGAACTTTTAACGGAATTTCGAGTTTTTTCTGAAAAATGCAACGGTCATTAATAAAAGTTAGCGACGTTGTGAGGCACACGTAGGAAATGTAAGTCCACCAATGAACAAACACATTGATGGATATGCTCTTGAGTGAATGAGCTAGTTCACGTAGGATCGAATTTTCTAACAGCTACCTATGTTGAATCAGAATGAATTTCTTCAAGCTTTATAGACTGCTGTCCAGGGAGCAGTAAGTCGTTGAGGACTGCTGAAGCCGACACCATAATATCACGATCCAGCAGGCAAACTTAATGAAAAAAGTTTCAAATTCTATTCTATTATGCAGCGCCATTCATCTAAATTATCTATATACAACTTTTAAGCATAAGGCAACGGTCTAAACTCATAAAATAAAAAATTCATGAACTAAAAATAACGACAACAGAAACATTTCCTACAACGCCCTTTTTGCGAAATTTGGTTCGCAGTTCACCACACTCAACACAATACTTTTACTGTTCAATTGGAGGAATTGGCAGTTGTATCTTGGGCTTTGAAATCCATTTAAATCATTATACTCCACCCGCAAATGAAAGTAAACAGTCAAGCTTCTATTCCACTCGCCTTCTTCTAATAGGAACGCATTAGTTACGTACTAAATTTTCTGTCAAAATCCCTTGTAAAATTTTCCGTTGGTCGCACAAAAATAAAAAAAAATGTGACAATAGATTTCGACAATTTAGACACAAGACAATTTCGCCAGTAAAGTGTCAAACCTAGTCATCATCAAAGCGCAAAATAATTTTTTTATCTCTAACTTTGTTAATATATATCAATGAATGGCTAATAGATTTACGCCTGATTTTCATACTAGCACCAAAGCTAAAACCAGCGAAACTGAGTGCGCCATAAAATAAATTACATAAATTCAAATATGTTTTATTTCAATGAGGAGAAACCATTCAAATATAAATTCATGCAAATGTGTTGCATCGAATAGTATTTCAAATACTTGAGTTAATTAAAAAAGAAGTGACTCACAGGTTAAGTAATTTTGAAAGATTTAGGATTTCTGTCAGTATTTTGAATTCAGTTGCGCTACATTCTGCCAACAGGTCTTGGAGAAAAAATTCATTCGAGTCAAAATTTCAAGGGAAAAATTCGCGTGAAGTTCAGAACGTTCAATCAGTACGCGATGACAGCGCCAATCATGGTGAGCACAAAACCAAACGAAGCACCATAAACTGCACCACCATTAACACCCACTTGGGCAGAACGAGGTGGTTTGCCGCCAGAGACGGGTGAAGGGGTGGTTGATGTTGTGGTAGTGGTAGTGGTAGTCGAGTACCGAAGTATGGTGGAGGTTTCTTCTAGGGTAGCGATGGGCGAGTTGTCGGCGAGATTGAATGGTTGTTCAAAGTCCACCCTGAGCTCGGCCATGCGAGTCTCTGAGTGCAAGGCAGTGATGGGTCGCGTGAGTTGGAACCCGTCCTCGAAAATGGCCGTGAGCGAAGCGGAATACTGAGCGGAAAGTTCACTCATATTAGCGATAAGTTTTCCTTTGACTGCCGAGCCTGGAGGCAAAAGGTAACTCACGCGTTGGGTCATTGAGATCTGTTCTTGGTTGTAGTCTCCAACGAACAAGCCCGACTTTTCGGGAGTAGAGAATTTGGTTCCAGTCACAGCACCTTTCACGGAACCCCAATAATGTTGAACATTGACGGTGAAGTCCTCCTCGACTTCAACAATCTTTTCTTCTGTGGAGGGATTTTCCAAATATACTTCGGACTTCACAACATCCGAGAACGTTTTCTTCATGGTTTTGGGTTCTAATTCGATGCCGAAAAGCTCGTACTCTTTAGGCTCTTCTTCGGTGATGATTGTAGCCTTTAGACTCTTTTCAACTTGATCTCCGTTCACGAAAAAGGCTTCCTTTTGTTTCGGGTCAACGAATCCAGGCTTAAAGATGCCAGTTTCGTGGTCTTCGAGAACAGCCAAGATCATCTGAGGGGTAGTGATTGAAAAACTTGGGAAGACAGTCACTCTATCCCAGTCACTGTAAGTTAGTCGCGTCGATCCGTTGATCGAAATCAACGCATCAAATGAAGAGGCATTGCGGATATCGTTCAGGAAAGGATACTGACACGCGCCGTCACGGATGACTCCTGAGGCCCATTGCCCGTGTATCTGAGCCCTACACCAATGTTCCGACGAGCCTTTGATGGTCACGGCCCCTGGTGGCAGTTGCGTCTTGGGCCTTACGGTTATCCATCCCAAAGTGGAAGATGTGGACGACCTCAGGTTGTCCTGCCTGAAGAATTTGGCCATGTCGAGGGGCAGCTGCGCAAAGGAGGGAACAGCAGCCAGGAGCATCAGCACCACCAACGTCAACGGCAGCTTAGAATCTGCACGAAAAGAAGACAGTTAGACACAGAACATTAACTTCTGAACAACATAATCATGTATTTTTACCTTTCACAAAACGTTCTGATGTTTGGATTCATCGCTGGACTACGTTGAGAATCCGAACTAGCTTGAAAAATCATCGAAAAACATAGAACTATATTTCAGTGCATCAGATTTTAGGATGTTACACAGTCAAAGTTCTAGTTCATAAGAATACTTCTAAATGAAGCTTCATCACCAGCAAAATCCAGACAAGAAAAAGAAGAACATAATTCCGCTCGACACAGGTGCCATTGTAGCACTTAATAAATATTCAGAGATGTAGAGCAAGGGTGTGGCACTTGGTCAATCAACACGATTAGTTAGTTAAGCACGCTTTGGGAGCGGTTGGTTCTGAAGGCCAAAGTGAAGTCGTTGTACTATAAATACAGAACTGACCTTGACCGAAACTGCGTGCAATAAACTCATTTCAAATCTGTTGTAAAAAAACATTACAACATAGATTTTTTTAAATCTATTACTTGGAGAAAATATTAGAAATCCATTGCGAATATTTGCATGATCAGAAAGATCAATATAGTGACTGTGAAGTAAACCCGACGACGATCTAGAAAAAATTGTGTCGACCGAGCCAAGAAAAAACATTGGAAAGAATAAAAAGGCGACTTGAGAATTAGTTATCGACTAAATAATGCGACATGATCGTGAATTAACGTAATGTCTCGGAGTTAAAATGGTTCGAAAACTTAAGTCCGACGTGACAATCGTCGGTGATTATGCATCGTGAGTGAGAAGTGGCTGCTGAAACTCTCCCCTCCCTGGGGACATTCAAACTGAGTAGAGAAGCGTGTAGCCGGTCACAAGGCTTGATGAGAGGTGAGGGCAGCTGACACCTACTATGAGGAAATGACAATAAACGACGAAAATCGGTTATGCACACCACAATGATGTCATCATTGAATAACCTCAAGCACAACAAACTTCCAACACTTCGTATTCGTTTTCAGTACGTGGGTATTGGGCATGATTGTAAAAATTAATATTTCATCGAGAAACGAACATCATAACCTCCGTTTGAATCGATGTAAATTTCTTCACAGCAGCTGCACACAAAAACATTTTTTCTACTTTTCAAAAGCAGTCCGCGGAGAAATATTAAAGAGAGTAGCTCAGAACGGTGACTGCACTCAGAAAAATTAATGTAATATTGTTCAACTATTGACACACTTTTTACACGTATAGCACTGATACATCTCTTTTTCTGAGTAAAACTGGGTCAGGATGAACCACGAAAGCAGGAAGTGCGTCGCTGTTCAGACAAATTTTCCTTCATTACTCTGAGTGTGGATGCACATCGACAACAATTAATTGGCGCGCGGAGACTGAATACGAAGCGGCCTGGAAGAACAATGGGATTTGCGTTGGTGAAAATCCAAAAGAAGGGGAAAAGCACAATCAGAATGAGGTTAGACGAAAATAATGCAAGAAATTAAAGATACAAGACTAATTATTTCACGATTCAAGTAAGGTAGTTTTCTCACTCAAAGTATATAAAAGCTTCGAATTAACAGAGCTTACAAGCTTGAACTGATTTGAACGCTCGAAGCGACAGCTGAATTGCGAATGGACATAAACAATGAGTGCATTATCTCCCTATTGGATGCCGAATAACTTTCACTTTGCACGGTAAATTATCAAGGCGAGTACTTGTACAGCAGTTGAAAGGAGTCCTTCATAACACAACCTCCAATTAACACGACTTGGGCTTTACGAAGAACCACCACACGAACCCTATAAGAAGAGACTTCTTATGAAAACAAGATAACATGTACTTAGAATACCGGTAGTATCCATTCTATAAGTCAGAAAACCGAATTTGAATTGCCAAAAAGTGATCTATTAAAAAGTTAACCTTTCATAGATAATTGAAATTGTGAACAATAAGATTGTACAGATAATGAAACGATTGTTCATTGCACTTTTCAACTAAACGTTTATGATCGCCCTATTTCGATCCACTAGGTATCGCAAAAAGTATCTTTTACTTCACTTCTTTCAAGCAACAAGAAATAGCCGAATGCACCCCGTGCTTCTAACTGAATAATCAACCTGAGCTCCCGAGACCGCGATAATCGAAAATCGCCTACAACCATTGACGAGGAAAGTCGGGCGGCCCTCGGCAGATGGCTGATGGCGATAAGGCAAATCCTTTGAAGCCAAAGTGAGTCTGATAGGAAGAGTGCAGCGCATTGTCTTAAATAGCGGCGGGGGAAGCAGGAGTGCAGCGTATTGCCTTAAATAGCGGCGGGAGAAGCAGGAATGCAGCGCACTGCCTTAAATAGCGGCGAGGGAAGCAGGAATGCAGCGTATTGCCTTGAATAGCAGCGGGGGAAGCAGGGGTGCAGCGCATTGTCTTAAATAGCGGCGGGGGAAGCAGAAGATCAGCGAGCTGCCTTAAATAGCGGTGGGGGAAGCATGAGTGCAGCGTATTGCCTTAAATAGAAGTATAGAAATAACGGTTAAAGGAAATAGAAATACAGTGCGTTGTTACCGGCGAAGAACATGAGAGCAGTGTCTTGCATGCAATAATGACGGAGGAAAGCAGAAGAGAGTATTGTCTTAAATAACACTGGGATGGAAAAGGATTTAAGCACATTGCATTGAATAACGGTTGAGGAGGAAACTAGGAAAATATAGCGAAAGATATCAGATGTGGATAGCCGAAGTGAGCAATCGATAGAAGAAACAAATTTAATAATTTTATAACCTAGAAGGAAAAATGAGGCAGACTAAATTAAGACTGACGAAAGAAAAGTTTATGCTGGGTCAAATTGGTACGGAGCTAAGAATCGCGTATGCTCAAACATATTTAGATCCTGTTTCTTGCACGCAATCATTTACTACGACGATCAATCACTCCCTCCACGCTGATGGAAATTATACGCAAAAGGTTGAAAATTTATTTATTTCAGAGTCCAATGGAATCCACACAGACGCCATTCGCAGCTATTTACGAGCTCACTTGCTACGTCGTGTTTTTTAAAGAGCGTCGCAACGCAAGCTGAGGCGTAAGTACCGAAACTTTATCCATTTAGCGTAACTTACACGTCGGCCAAAACAAGGGGAGACGAAGAAAACTGACTGCGTGAGAGGACTGACGGCGTTTACAATTGAAAAACATTGGTGTTGTTTTAACGGCCAATGAAATCTCGATGGTTGGCCGCCGATGAACCGTCGGCTGAAGTTTAGAGACGAAGCTCACTTGGCCGCGAGCGTATTATGCTAGGGTCCCGCGGGATGCATTCTCTTCGTTAGGACCACAGGAAAGTCGAATATAAAAATCAGCTAAGGGAAACGTAGCAGAAATGAGGCGGAAATATATACACGTAGATTCGCCAAGCCTACGGTAAATTTTTAATTAAAGAAAAACATTTTCAGCAAAACGAAAAGGATTAAAATTAGGGGGAAATGAATCCTTTCCTTTAGGAGTTTATACGGTAAATGGGCATAAAAAAATCGAAACAACATATATTCTTGTAGTACAAGTCCTTCAGACCGCTGAGAATTTTAAGAAGGTTAGACGGAACACATGAATAGCAGCGCCGGATGATCCTAAGAGAACAGGAAGTGGGCGCCAGGTGCACCAGTTGACCGTTCCCTGCAACGGCCGCTGCAATATAGGGGACGGGTCCATGGAACTCAAGTCATGAGATATTTCAAAGCAGGAATTCAATGCGTGGAAGACTATAAAAACTTGTATATAGTACTGTCATTTAATACGGAGAACACACGTAGGTGTCGGTATTTATTGCAATATGTGGGACTATGGAACTAGAGTCATGCGATATTTCAAAGCAGAAATTCAACGCGTGGAAGACTAGAATAGCTTCTATTCATTACAGTCATTTAATGCGGAGAACACACGTAGGTGTCGGTATTTATTGCAGTAACATAAGAAGTGAACCATTCGAGCTTGCGTTTAGTTCAATAATTTAATAGGACTACCCAAAGAGCTCAATTTGACAGCAATAGTTAATTATTGAGCAATAGGCGCGTACATTATTGTCTTTGTTCTGTAACACAAAGTACCATATCAACTTTAATAGCAATCATCACTGAAATTTATGCAGTAAGAAAGATACGAACAATATTTAGTACGAACTCTGAAAGAAGAAGTGATTTAAATTGCCATGTATGAGACGATTTAATTGGTAATTCAAATAATGAATAAGTCTGAGCAATGAGGGTCAGGCAGAGTTTATTGTTGAAAGCATTGCCCATAGAGTAACTCTTTGGCAAGGCCGACTTGAGCCAGTGGGCCATTTATTTTACAATACCAAAGTAAAGCCTGCTTAATTTGCAATAAAAGTCGTCAAAGAATCAAATTTTCCTTCGTGAGCATTCGAATGCATAGTTGAAAAATTATGAAAGAAATACCTTTTCACGACTTATCGAGTAGAACTAGTAGGTGAGCGCAAAATCATTCGATATCTTTGCAGATTTCCGGCACTGAAAATATCATGTTAAGCAATTTATGCGAAAAAAAAATTCAGTTATCTAAGTCTATATTGACGGCAGTCATGTAAGGAGCCGACAATAGGGCAGTTGGTTTCGAATGATTCAGAGTCCATCTCAAACTTTATACAAAATAACAAACGAGAGATGGTGAGGTTTCGCATATTAATGTGACTCAGATAAGAATAAATATATTCAAGTTACAAGCACTCCAGCAACCTGATCAAAATGTGAGGGGAAACGAAGGTAACTTATGGGAGAGGGGAGAACTCGATACTTTAACCGAAACTGAGCACCCTCGAGTGAAAACCGGGTGGACGATTGCGTGGACAAAACAATCCAATTCCATTGATGAAAATTCTGAACCCGACCCTTTAGTAAGAGTGACATGTAAATAAAATGGACTGTTTTTAAAAGTTTTGTATCAATATAACATTTCGCTAGTTGCATTCTTTAGTCAATCATCAAATTTACATCCCGAAGA